ATTAAACATACAGCTACTCTATGAAACTTGCACAAGAACGTTTACAGAAACTTTATTTCTCCAAACTGGAAACAATCCAAAGGTCCGCCAATAAGAGAACGGATAAATAAATTGAGGTTTATTCATATATTTATACATTGGAATAGTAGTACAGAGCAGTGACAAAGAATGAAGTATGGATATCTGCAACAACTTAGATTTATCTCAAAGACACTGGGCAAGAGAAGGTAGACACAGAAGATGTATGATTCAATTTATATAAGGTTTCAAGAACAGGCTAAATTAATCCATGGTGGTAAAGGTCAGAATAAGGGTTACTACTTTCTGCAAGTTCCAGTTTTCCCGACAAGGGGAACACAAGGGAGCCTTCTGAGGCTCAGGATATGTGTTGTATCTTGATCTGGGTCACAGTTACACGAGGGGATATGTAAGTAAAAATTCATTGTGCTGTATACCTAAGACTTGTGTGTTTTAGTGAATGAAAACAAACATCTAGAACGAGAAGATAAGCTTCTACAATTTTCTTAGTAATCTTTAATGAGACAGTCTAAACTTTTAAATATTTCATTTGTTGTAATGATAAAGTTTAGATGCCTCTTCTAAGATTTTTGATGCAAAAGACCAAAACTCACGTATCATTTCTGAATTTTTATTCTTCTTGTCACATAAAAAATAGCAGAAATAATACATAGAAAAAGTAAAGACAAGCTAAAATGCATTCATCTGTCAGCAAATACTGCTGAAAGACAGAACTAAGTGCAGAAGATTTGAAAATACAAGTATTTGAAAAATATGCAATATGGGACATTTGCTATATAGTTAGATGAAAGTATGGTGCTATTTTACACATATCAGTTTATGATATTTGCTAAATTTTGTTTCAATGATGAAAACATAAAGAATTGTGTTGTTTAGAAGCTATTAAAGGAAAGATCTAATAGCCATATTCTCAGTAGCATATGAATTATATTAAAGATGATGTTTTGTGGGAAAACGGTAGATATAACCACAGCAGGGATGGATGGCTGCATTGACTGCAATTTTTAATAAAAGTTCCAGGTCAGGTTTCAGAGCGAGCCCTACAAATGAAGACCATTCACTGCATCACTCACAGGCAAAGCACTGCATGAAAGAACTGAAAGGCAAAAGTATACAAAATGATACAAGATGTTATCAGTGCAGTTAATTTTATGAAAACAAGAAGTTTAGAGTGTAGTCCAATTTATACACCCTTCTAATGCCAGGTGGTGACCTTAAGAAACAGATGTCTTTTTTGACAAAAAGAAAAATACTCCAAGTTTTCTGACCTTTTCTGGGATGACAAGTGACTTTCAATAATGTAGGTATAGAGGAGGTAAAATTGAAGAAAGAAACAGATTACATCTGTACCTTCCAGTCAAAGTGCTGCTTGGAACAATGAATTACAATATAATTTGAAAGAAACATGCTACAGAGAGATAAAAAAAACAGATGTTTTTAAATGTTTCCAACATGATACGATTTTAATTTGGCTACAGAAACAGATATGTTGTGGTCACAATAAACTCTAGGTACATATTTTAAAATTTAGAAACAAAATATTTCTTTTCCAAATGAAATATTTAGTTGGGTTTTGTGCCCAATTATTAAAAATATAAAACTGCATTGTTTAATGGGTGTGGGGTTTCAGTTCTGCACGATGAGAAAGGTTCTGGAGGTTGGTTGCCGAACAAGGTAAATGTACTTAAAATTGCTGAATTGGACATGTAAAAGCAGCTAAGATGGTGAATTTTATGTTGTGTTTAGTTTATCACAATTCAAACTATAAAACTGGGACACTTTCCAATTCAGTTTTAAGAATAACTGATTAACATCAAAGCAGATATAGAAGTACTAACCACATTTCATAAAATTTTTTTGATCGGTTGATAACTGGGATTGGAAAATGGGAGTCATGATTCACTATGACCAATGATGCCTGTCTGCTTTTTGGAATCAGGCTTCTTTTAGAATTATCTGACACAGCTCAACAGTTATTAAAACCAAGTCTTCAAATAAACTAAATTTAGAACCAGGCTTTGACATTACAATATTACAGAATGGTAAACTAATACAACAAATAATGGAATATTTTAAATTCATATCAGTCTCAAACATGGGTAGTTTATATAAAATTTAAAAAATCAACTTAAAACACATTTACCTATTGCTCACCCTTTCAAGAGTCTGTTTTGTGATTGCTTATTGCATAATACTTACAGTCATTATGATTATAGTAGAGCATGATACACATTTGAATAAACAAACACACATATAGATAGAGGTGATGCATGCTCCCAGTACTTTTCTGTTGGGAGTGCTCAGTCAAAAAACTCTGAGCCCCTCACCTGGGCAGTCACTTACTGACCTTCTCCTTAGCTTTCCTCCTCCATATCCCCCAGGCGCTTGGCTAGCTGATGCCTAAATGACTCAAGGGCCAAGGAATGGCTGTATCCCAGTGGCCCAGGGGATCTTAGAAAGACCTGGCAGTTTCTCTCTTGCACCAAACCAAAACCTGCCTTCTGGGGCTTCTGCTAATCGGTTTTGGTCCCTGACCTTAGAGCCCACAGCACATACTGGCTCTTGCTTGGCTGGAGTGCCCAGCAACAGACTTGCAGACCATGCCCTTACCCTCAGACTGGTCTTCTTAAGAGTGGATTCTCACTCATTTTTGGTTGTCCAACATCCCACCTCATTCCTAGGAACACCGAGTCTCTTCCAGGGTATTCCCTGAGTGGCCTCTTTTAGGAGGGGATGACCACCACCCAGAGGCAGGGCCTCTCCAGCTTCAGCGCAGCTAGGGAGCATGCATATGATGTCCCAGCGCTTTGGATCTTGAGCAAGGGACACCAAGATATGGGACAGTTGGAATGCATGTTTTTCCCCAGGGATCCTTCTAAAGGTCGTGTGTGTGTGTGTGTGTGTTTTAAGATTATTTATTTATTTATTTGACAGAGAGAGACATAGCGAGAGAGGGAACACAAGCAGGGGGATTGGGAGAGGGAGAAGCAGGCTCGCCCGATGCGGGGCTCGATCCCAGGACCCCGGGATCACGACCTGAGCCGAAGGCAGACGCTTAACCGACTGAGCCACCCAGGTGCCCCTGGTTTTGTGTGTTTTAGCATGACATCAACACCTACAGACATATCTCTGACTCCCCGTTCCCATCTCAATAAACAGCATCATGTGCGGCCAACAAACCTAGGAGTTGTTCTTTTGTCTTTCCCTTTACACTTAGAGCCATTCATACTGGCAGCTCCACCTCCAAAGAATGTCTTGGGTCGGGCCACTTCTTCCTTCCTACTGTAACAGCTCCCTCACCCCGTCATTGCTGGCACCCCTCCGGCAACCTCATAACTGGGCTTCCTCCTGAGGCCTTGACAATCCATCCTCCATACAGAAGTGAGAGTGATCCTTTCAACATGGAAAGCGGATTGCCTCAGCCTCCTGTTCGAATCCTTCCAGGAGCTCACCATCTCACTCAAAAGCCCCAGTCCTCCCCAAGCCTGCTGTACCAGAAGTGACCACCACCAGCCTCTGCTCTGCTGCTGGGGTCACTCTGTCCCCACATTTTGCATGGTGCCCCCCTCTCTTCATTCAGGCTTCTCAGATGGCTGCTTTGGAAGGACAGGTCTGTTCCCCCAACTAAAATAGAACCTTCCTGCTCTCCATATCCTGGGCCTCCCTTGTTTCTTCTTCATGAGCTCTCCCACTACTTGTTACGGTTACTGCTTATCTTCCCACCGAGAATGTCAGGCCCATGAAAGGAGGGACAGGGCCTTGCTCTCTGCTCCATCTGCAGACCTGGACTGATGCTTGGCGCATAGTAGGCACACAGCAAATGCTTGGGGAATGAAAGAGTGGACGATTCCTGCTGTCTGGCCATCTGGAGCCATTTCTCCAGCCTGGGCTTTCAGCCTAGGATGGGTTTCTGAGCTCAGAGAACCTCCCAGTAAATGTCCTTCCTATTTGAGCTCGCTAGAGTTCCCTTCTGTCACTCACTCCCATGAGCCCTAATTGATATACTTTTTAAAAACAAATACCCTCATTTCTTTCAGGTGCTCTTCATACTGTCTCATCCTTCATACTGTCTCATCAGGTCAACAGGAGTGGTGCCAGTGAGGGTCCACCATGACCTTGGCAGAGGTATGGGAAGATATGGGGTGGGGGAGGCAGAGAGCGGGAGTCCCACTGACTTTAATTCCTGTCCCCTCCAACACAGCCACTACCTCCCTAGGCCCAGCTAGCATCACCTCTCACCCGGACCCCCACGAGAACTTCCTACCCAACCTCATTTTGTAACTGTTCCACTCTGAATCATTTTCCACACTGCAGCCAGATGGACCTTCCTAAAATGTGATCCCAACTTGCCATCCACCTCCTGTGGGCCTTCCCAGGCTTCACAGAGCTCTCTCCACCGTAAAAGTTCTGTCTGGCCCACATGGCTTTCAGCCACATCCCACAGAACACACAGCTAGGTCAGCTACTCTGAACTCCTAATTCTCAGACTCCTGTGCTCCCTCCAGCCTCTGCACCTTTGCACATTCTGTTCCCTCTGGCCCACCTTCTTTATCCTTAACCCAGATATTGGGTTAGTAGAGCAGATACTGTCAGTGCCCACTGAGTCCTGGGGCTTTGGTGGAGGGGTCCCTCCCTCAAGCACCAGCGTCTCTCTGTCTGCGGGTCCTCTCTGGCTACAGCCCAGCATTCGGCCAAGTGGGATGTGCTGGGCGGGGGGTGGGGGTGGGGGTGGGGCGGGGGGGCATTCACCTTTCAACCAAAGAGGGACAGAAGTTGGTGATGAACACCCAGCTTCTACAACCACTCAGTGGTGGGACATTTGTCATCTACATGGTCTCTCAAGAGTGTCCTCAGCGAGACTGAGCTCCAGTTGTCTACGGTGGTCAGAGTCCCACTGATCTGTCCTTTATTGTCATTCTTCCCTGTGTCATTCCCTTTCTGCATTCACCCTTCAGATGACCTACTTGCATCCAAACCCGGTCACAGGGGCAGCTTGTGGGGGACCCCAGGCAAAGATAGATCCCCCAGTACACACAATTCAGCACTAGGTACCTCTCCTCCATGGCCCCCTGTGTAATTTGAACTAATATGCTTTATGATTGCTCTGTTCAATGTCCATCTTTCCAAAGGACCAAACGTACCGAGGCCAACATCCAGTCTGGCTTGCTCCTCACAGAAAGCACAGGCCAAAGCACTTGGCCTGGCACCTGGTAAATACTCAGTAACTACTGGATAACTGAAAACATGGATTACCTGGGCGCGGGACGAAATCTGGTCTTACCCACTTCCTCTCTGCATGACTTGGGGCGAGTGACAAGGGGACTCTGTTAGCTCCAGTTCCGTCTGCGGAGAATGAAGCTATAATGTTGGCCTCTCAGGCTGCTGGAGGACAAAGTGAAATCAGGTGTGAAAGAACTCAGTCTATAGTCCTGCTCAGTAGCTGGCAACCTGTGTTAGTGTCCTAAAGTCTATGACAGACCTGCACAGGAGGGACACTGGGGGAGCAAACTGACTGCTCAGGGCTGGAGAGTCAGCAGAGACCAACAGAAGGGAGGGCACATTCTGGAGATACAAACACCTGTTCAGGCTGGTTTTTACCTGCTCCCTGCTCACAGGATGGGACATGACATTGGAGTGTCTTTGGACAAATGGACAGCCTTGATTGACATCAAGGACAATTTCATGTTGAGTGCCCGCCTCTAAATGGGATCCAAACTTTCCACCCTAGTGACGGGGACAATGCAGGATGAAGCGTGGACACGAGGACCTGGGGGAAAATATGGGTGCCGGGAGCCACACCCCAGGCAGGAGAGGGGGAGCTTGCCCACTTCCCAATCCCACTCTTGAGTGCCCAGGAGCACCTCCTGAATATAGAACATGCCTCCATCGCAAATGTAATGACAGAAAAGCAGCACTTTGGCATTTGTCCAGGGGACATCCTTAAGCTTGACTGTTTGAGAAGTGACCAGAGGCCCGTGACATCTAATAATTTGCCAGTTTGATTTGAGTTGCATTAGATTGGTGCAAGGAACAAAGCATCACGCAGCTTGTGACCACACTGAGTCAACAGCCTGGTATCCACCCTCAGTGTAGATTTGTAACGTTTTATTTATAGTTGTGTGTGAGGTAACTCTCATTAAGGGTCTACAGAGATCTTTAGTCCAGGAAGATCATTAGGTTTTTATTGCATTTGTACATTAATTTATAGATCAATATAACAGTACATATGTCATGGCATTTTGTTATATATTAATTATGTTTATATTATTATACATTATATTGTTAAAGCATTTTGCTATAGCAGGACAATGAAGATTTCTAAAGATCTTCAGACACAATCCTTATGACATCAAGGTTTTTACTCTATCATTTACAGTCAGCTAGCCTGACTTGAAACAGGGGAATCCTAGGTCCTGTGTGTAACTGGAAACATTTCTAGTTACCTCTCCTCTGCTTCTTGACTACTGAAGATCCTTTGCTGCAAAAATGTTCACCATTAAGGTTTTTTCTCTACCGTCTTTCTGATTGGATGGTGCCACTTAGGGAAGAGTGAACATCTGTTACTCTTGCCTAACTGGCAACCCTAGCCTCTTTTAATAAAAGAAACCATGACTTTTCTTTTAGGGACCCAAGTTTTCCTAGGCCTGATCAATGAGGGCCAAAAAGGGTCAGTGAGAGAGGCAATCTGAGACTAAAGCCAACGTGGAGGAAGTTTGAGCTGAGATATAAAGAAGGCCAAGTCCAGATAATATTGTTGAACCCTGGATCAAGCCAGGCCTGAAGCCTTCCTCTTTCCATTATCAGTTGCATGAGCCAACTGTATCTCTTTTTGCTTAACTCAGTTTGGGTTGGGTTTCTGTGTTTTGCAAAAACAGAAAGAGTCCTAACCAGTACATAGAGCCATCTCTGCTCTGCCCTTAAAAGGGTTCCAAGAGGCTTTGGGAATTTAGGCAGATGACAATCAGGAGACCCAAAGGTGACTGGTTCTTATATCTATAGGTCTAATCAGCCCTACATGATGGTCTTCCACAGCCACCCCAAAGACAGGGATAGTAGCAATTATTCATATCGAGGAGGCAGTTGGAACTTCTCCTATAACAACCCTTTAGTTCAGTACATAGGACTGTTTGTGATCTCTTCTTTCCTTCCGGGCTGCCCATAATCAAAATGACACAGAATCAGACAGATTCTGGCCCTGCCACATACTAGTTGTATGACTTTGGGTCATTTGCTTAACCTGATTCTGAATTCCCTGTATGAACAATAACTTTTTTCACATCCTAGGTTTTCCATAAGGATTCACGTGCGTACATAAAGAGCCTTAAGTAATCTGTTCCCTCTAGCTGGCACTCAAAAAGAGGTAGCTGATTATGCTGCTCACCAGACATTTATTGATTCCTTTCTGGGTGCCAGGCTCTGGGCTAAGGGTTTTACAACATTATTTCATTTAATCTCCCCCACCCCATCCCAACTACCCTGGGAGATGTGCTCCCCATGGGCCACTGTTTTCAGCTCTTCGCTGAAAGAAATCATCCAATCCTCCCAACAGCTGGAGCACGGAGATTAAGGAGTGTGGCCAAGGCTGGGTAACTCTTTCCAGGGCTGTGGGCTGTGCTGGGTGGCTGGGTGCCACTCCCCCTCTAAACAGGGCAGTCCCTGAGACGATGAGACATTAAGGACTCAGTTATAACTTCCCCTCCCAGAAAGACTGTGGTGTGGAGTCCCTGCCACATTCCTGATCCTGCCAAGGACCCTCTCTGGCTTCTGTAATGAGGACTTGAGCTCTGGAGGTCAGGGCAAACCCAGACAGTGCTTGTTCTCATTGAAGCTGGGGACCAATAAAACAATGACTGGAAAGTAATGATCTATAAGATGGTCTTGCTGTAATTTTTCCACAGAAATATACTGTGTAGCAAGCTACTAAGTAAATTCTTGGAAACCTGGAAACCCCCCAAAACTGGAAGGAGCTTTCTCTTTTCTCTCTCTCTCTCTTTTTTTTTTTTTTACAATTTCATGAAAAAGAGAGAGAGAAAAAAAACACATTTCTTGGATTTAACTTTATTCACACAAACTTTCTTTATTAAAAAAAAAAAACGAAAAAGAAAACCTGGCACCAGTTAATCTAAGCATGAAACTATCATTCCAGTAACCTTTTTTTTATTTTAAAGATTTTATTTATTTATTTGACAGATAGAGACATAGCGTGAGAGGGAACACAAGCAGGGGCAGAGGGAGAGGGAGAAGCAGCCTCCCTGCCGAGTGGGGCACCTGATTCGGGGCTCGATCCCAGGACCCTGGGACCATGACCTGAGCCGAAGGCAGACGCTTAACGACTGAGCCACCCAGGCGCCCCTTCAGTAACTCTTTGAAAAGTTGCCTATAATTGTGTGCCTTGGAAAATTAATTTATCTCCAGATGAGGAAACCCGAAACTGGTCTTCTGGGTGAAAATTATTGCCCCCTTCTCCCCAGGAGGCAGATGGAATGAACAATGGGAAGGGGCAGAGTTGCAGGTGGGACGCTTAGCCAAACAAAAGGGCCCCTACGACTTGCCTAAAATAGAAAATAAGAGTTAGCAACAGCTCCCCGCACCCCCTCCCCCAACGCCCCCGCAGTCCCCCCTTCGGAGCCCGCAGTGGAGCGACCAGGACTACGCGGCTTGCTGCCCCCGAGCACCTCGGAGATACGCAAGAGCCCCTGAGGGCAGTTAAAGCAGAAGCTAATGCCCCCTGGCTCCCCTGATCTCGGATCTCCTTCCCACCCCCGCGGAGCAAATTCAACCACCAGACTCACCTCCACAGGTGGTAAAGCTTTTGCTCTGTTCTGCTGAAGACATTCAAATCACGCTCCTGTTTTGGTTCTTTTTAAAGCTCTTTGGAGAACATACATATCACAGGAGCTTTATTCGGAGGAATCATTGGCGAGGTCATTGTGCTCCTAATTATGGGACAAGCCTTGGCTTTGAAGTGTGAAGGCCCACGGTTCAAATCCCAGCTTGGTCTGTGTGACCTTAACCTCTGGGAGCTACGTGTAAAATGGCGAGGGTAATTTCTGTCTTGCTGATCTGTTGGGAGGATCAGCAATAAGGGTGAGCAAGGGCCGGCCTGCACGTGCTTAGTGCTTAGGAACCTCCGCCCCCTCCTCCTGCTCAGGCCAAAGAAGGCAGGTGGCTCGCTCCACCTCACTAGCTCACCTGAGAAGCTGGCAGAGGGAGGGGAGAGGAAGGAGGGGCTGGGGGGAGGAAAGAAAGGAAGCCTCCAGGCTGGTACTGAACTTCACCTAGTACCTGACTGATGTTCCTCAAGGAATCTGCATCCCAACCGCCGGGCGGACCCTGAAACTGACGCCCGCATCCGCCTGTGCGCGAGCAAATGGGTCACATGAAATCGACACGGCAAAGTCACACCCTCCACTGAAGCCGATTTCGAAGGTTTGACTGTCGCATCAAAAAAGGCGTTGTTTTCTTCTTTTCGCGCTCTTCCCCCCCTCCTCCGCCGCCCCCTGCCTCCTCCGCCGCTGGCCACCACCCCCACGCCCCGGCCAGCGCGCACACAAAAGAAGACCCCGAGCCGGAGGTACCGGAACCTGCGGGGCTTGTTTACCACTTCGGGCGCCTCCGCGAGGCGCTGCCCGGCGCCGCCACCTACCGGCGGGAGACGGCACCGCAGCCGGGTGCGGGCCAACAACTGCGGGCCGATGACCCAACGCCGCAGGCATCTGAGGATAACCTTTCCCCTTTCTTTCCAAGACCAAATAAGGGGGCTCTTCCCTCTGCGTGCCGGGCCTGTGGCGGTTAGGCCAAGGGGCGTGGAAAGGAGGATCCGGGAACGAGGCTGACAGTCGGCAAAACAACCGACCACATTGTTCCCGCGGCGGCCGGCCTCCTCCCTCCTCCGGCGGGCACGGCCCGTGCCCAGGCGGGGCGCTCCCTGCGACCGCGGACGCGGGAAGCCGGGCAGGCGAGTGGGCAGGGCCGCCGTTCGGGGTACCCCGCCCCGCCCCGAGCCCCATCGGCAGCACCGCCAAGCCTCCCCACCCCCCAGAAGTGGAGGGCAGGGTGCCCGCGGGCCCCTGCCCGCTTGCAGCGCGCCCGGCAGTCCCTCCGCGGCCCGCGGGGCAGCAGAGCCGGGCGGGGGGCGCAGCCCGAGGGGAGCCAGGCCCGGCTGCCAGGCCTCGGAACCCTGGCATCACCCCCGAGGGAGGGAGTCCCTAGCGGCTGACAGTGTTTGGTAACCACAGAAACCGAGATTTGACCTATATTTTCAAATATGGCCCCAACTCTAGCTTTCCTTCTAGAAATCAAAGGGAGAGAGTCTGACCTGACTTGCTGTTAATGTTCATCCGGCTTTGTGTTCCAGGATGCCACCCAGAAGTTTGGGCAAGTCAGGAGATTTCGCTGGCGGGAGGTGCGGACGCCTTGTGAGGGTCTCCGGTGCTCTGGGCCAGGAAGCAGTGGCTGTCCTCTCTACCGGCCTCCTACCAACCACAGGTCCTCCTGCCCACCGATGGTGGACCATAGTAATCAAGATTTTAGATATGTTTACCGTTTGGCTAGTTCATTTTACTTCTATATATTTCATTATCCGAAGTAGGTAATGGGGAGTCCGTATTCAGATGATGGTCACAGCCGTGCTTATGACAGCCTTAACTGAGCATTTAATGTGTGCTAGAAACTGTTATAAATGTTTTGCAGACATCTACTCACAACATCCCTATGCAGTGGGTATTATTAATAACCCCATTTTATAGAGGAGGAACCTGCACTCAGAGAGGTAGGGTTTCCACTGAAAATCACCCAGCCAGGGAGTGGTAGAGCCAGGATTTATGCTTGGGCGGTGGGGCTCCAGAGTCCGTGCCCTTGACCGCAACACTAAATGTTTATCAATGGGGATTTGATTAATTTAGAGTGCATCCGTATAATGGAATACTCTCCAGCCACTTAAATGGTGATGTAGATTGGGAATAATTGGCATGGAAAAATGTCCATGACATATTGTTGAGTGAAAACAGCTGGTTACACAACAGCGTGCATAACAGGATCCTGCAGCTGGGCAGATGGGCCCATGGCCGTGCTAACTCTGGCCACCTGTAGGTGGTAGGATTTCAGGTGGTGAATTTCACAGGTTGTTTTCTGTATTGTTGAATGTTTTCTGGAAATGAATGTATATTATTTTCTAATAAAAAGAGAGGTTTTTTTACTTAAAAAAAGAAGAAGTTGCATTTCTCTGACACGCACATGTGAAACCACTGTCAAGGCTGTCCTCAAATCCTACCTTCTCCAGAAAGCCTTCCGTGATCCCTGAAGTTGGAAATTCCAGGTCCCATGCTCCTTATGAATGAGACCTTGTGTCCAGACAGAGATTTAGCCACATGAGCACATACCTATGTCACCAGCTAAACCCTAAATTATGGAAGGGAGCCACAGATTGTTTAACTTTTTCAGTATGTCCCTTAGTACCTTGCACAGCACTTTACCCATTGCAGGGTTCAAATAGTTATCTCTAGATTGGTATGAACTCACAGTGCTGGAACAATCCATACAAGAATTAATGGGGGCACCTGAGTGGCTCAGTCGGTTAAGCGGCTGCCTTCAGCTCAGGTCATGATCCCAGGGTCCTGGGATCGAGCCCTGCATCGGGCTCCCTGCTCGACGGAGAGCCTGCTTCTCCCTCTCCCTCTGTCTGCTGCTCTGCCTACTTGTGCTCTCTCTCTATCTCTGTTAAATAAATAAATAAAAATCTTTAAAAAAAAGGGGCGCCTGGGTGGCTCAGTTGGTTAAGCGACTGCCTTCGGCTCAGGTCATGATCCTGGAGTCCCTGGATCGAGTCCCGCATCGGGCTCCCTGCTCGGCAGGGAGTCTGCTTCGTCCTCTGACCCTATCCCCTCTCATGTGTTCTCTCTCTCTCATTCTCTCTCTCTCAATAAATAAAATCTTTAAAAAAAAATCTTAAAAAAAAAAAAGAATTAATGGCATAGTTGTTTGGTATCTGCAGCTTTGCACGCAGTAGGTGCTCCCATTTGTTAAGTGAATGAGCTCAGGGCTGCTCTGCCCCAAGTGGCCCTTCCCTTTGCTAAAATCAAAATGAACTGCTTCTTCCTCAGGGACTTCTCTTCTACCCGGTTATTCATCATCTCTATCAGGCAACCCCTCAGGAGGAACTGGCTCTGGTTAGCTTAGGAGGAAAGGGTAGCTCTTAGAATTGCTGGGAAGACTGGAGGAGAAGGCATGGAGGTTGGGCAGGAACAAAGGAAGTGAGGCAGAAGGAAGACCAAACCAAGATCATGACAGGCCTCCGCTGGGCTCTGCCACTAGCCCCAGCAGACAACCCTGCTATGGTCAGCTGCCGCTGCGGGAAACAGATTCTGTCCTGTCCCTTTGTCTTGGATTACCTGCCCAAGATTCAAAGCCTCAGATAGGATCACTTGGCTCACCCCAACTGATGTGCCTAGTGGTGTGCTGGTAAGTGTTTAGCAACCTGCTCTCCAGGGGAAAAAACTGATCTGTGGCAGTTTGCTGACTTCTATGGTGTAAACATTCCCACCACGACTGATTTTTATCTGCCAACCATTTAATACCCAACTCAAATGATTCCCGAGAATTTAAGGATTGGTTTTGGTAGGCTGGTGAATCTTGCGCTAGCACACCCCTGTATGTTGAGGTTCCGATGGTGGGGAAACCACCTGGACAGGAAAGGGGGCGGGATGCTAGGCAGCCCCAAAGAAAACAGTGCATACCCACATCCCAGAGCAATGCAGGGCACTACGTCCGTGGCATGACCCAACACATAGATTAATGGCTATCCCTTCTATGGTTAGCAGGAGCTTTTAGAGTAACACCTAAAGGAAGGTAAATGACGGGATTTAAGAAGGTAGAGCCGTTCTGAGACAGAGATGGGTGGTAGGAGAGATGTTCAAATTGGCTTCCTTCAGATCTCCCCACAGCACCTCTGCTGGTGCTTGTATGGGCAGGCCTCCATGAACAAGACCCAGCCCTGAATTAGCCAACAAGGAGTCAGGAAGCAGGGAAGCAGGGAAGCCTTCACCAGGAGAGGTGTAGCCCTTTCACCAGGTCTCAAGTCCAAGGGCAAGAACAATGACAGTCATGGCTACTGTGGTGGACAGAGGGCTTCCAATGTGTGCCAGGCACTGTGCTAGCCTTAGTCCTTTGTCTAGGTTGTTTTTGTGAGGCTAGATCACTAATAAACAATTCCCCTGGAATTTGATCCCTTATCTTCAAGATGTCCTGAGCAGCCATCAGACACCTGCCTACTGGGTCGCGTTTAGAGCATGGGACACATGCCAGGCACTCCATGTGGTCCCTCTGAAGCCCCTCTCTCTTGATGAAGGAAAGGAATTCCACTCCTCTTCTCATGAGTGGGGGTGTCAATACTCTTGGCTCAGTCTTCTCCAAAGAGATGCTTTTTACAAATGTTCTCTCATATCCAACAACTCAATCCTTCTATGCCCTCGAGCTGGTCCTGGTTTCAAGAGTCCTACAACTGGTTTTAGGCTCATTGCTTTGGAATGCAGCCTCTCTGGGCCTTGGTACCTCAGTTGGAAGTTCCAATTTAGCATCTTGCAAGAATTTACCAACTGAGTGATAATTACAGGGGTCTTGGCCTGATGATAATTTACTAAATTGTACACTTAGGAGTTTGGCATCTTTCTTTATGTAAGTTTATAAAAATACAGACCAAAACCATTAAAAAATTTATACATTTACTACCACATGAGAGGTGGAAAGCACAGGTAGAAAGGGAAATGGGTTGGTTCTTGGACAAATAGTGCAAGAAATGTCAATGCTAAAGGCAGTCCTAAGAGGAAAGTATACAGCAATACAAGCCTTTCTCAAGAAACAAGAAAGGTCTCAAGTACACAACCTAACCCTCCACCTAAAGGAGCTGGAGAAAGAACATCAAATAAAGCCTAAACCCAGCAGGAGAAGAGAAATAATAAAGATCAGAGCAGAAATCAATGAAATAGAAACCAAAAGAACAGTAGAACAGATCAACGAAACTAGGAGCTGGTTCTTTGAAAGAATTAACAAGATTGATAAACCCCTGGCCAGACTTACCAAAAAGAAAAGAGAAATGACCCAAATCAACAAAATCATGAATGAAAGAGGAGAGATCACAACCAACACCAAAGAAATACAAACAATTATAAGAACATATTATGAGCAACTCTATGCCAGCAAATTAGATAACCTGGAAGAAATGGATGCATTCCTAGAGATGTATCAACTACCAAAACTGAACCAGGAAGAAATAGAAAACCTGAACAGACCTATAACCACTAAGGAAATTGAAGCAGTCATCAAAAATCTCCCATGATATGAGGAATTCTTAAATGCAGGAAACAAACTGAGGGTTGCTGGAGTGGGGGGTGGGGTGGGAGGGATGGGGTGACTGGGTGATAGACACTGGGGAGGGTATGTGCTCTGGTAAGCACTGTGAATTGTGCAAGACTGTTGAATCTCAGATCTGTACCTCTGAAACAAATAATGCAATATATGTTAAGAAAAAAAAAAGAAGAAGAAGAAGGTAGCGGGAGGGGAAGAATGAAGCGGGGGAAATCGGAGGGGTAGACGAACCATGAGAGACGATGGACTCTGAAGAACAAACTGAGGGTTCTAGAGGGGCGGGGGGTGGGAGGATGGGTTAGCCTGGTGGTGGGTATTGAGGAGGGCACATTCTGCATGGAGCACTGGGTGTTATGCACAAACAATGAATCATGGAACACTTCATCTAAAACTAATGATGTAATGTATGGGGGTTAACATAAGAATAAAAAAAAAAAAATCTCCCAAAAAACAAAAGCCCAGGGCCAGATAGCTTCCCAGGGGAATTCTACCAAACATTTAAAGAAGAATTAATACCTATTCTTCTGAAACGGTTCCAAAAAATAGAAATGGAAGGAAAACTTCCAAACTCATTTTATGAGGCCAGCATTACCTTGATCCCAAAACCAGACAAAGACCCCATCAAAAAGGAGAACTACAGACCAATATCCCTGATGAACATGGATGCAAAAATTCTCACCAAAATACTAGCCAATAAGATCCAACAGTACATTAAAAGGATTATTCACCACAACCAAGTGGGATTGATCCCTGGGCTGCAAGGTTGGTTCAACATCCGCAAATCAATCAACGTGATACAATACATTAACAAAAGAAAGAGTAAGAATCATATGATCCTCTCAATAGATGCAGAAAAAGCATTTGACAAAGTACAGCATCCTTTCTGGATCCAAACTCTTCAGAGTATAGGCATAGAGGGTACATACCTCAATATCATAAAAGCCATCTATGAAAAACCTACAGCAAATATCATTCTCAATGGGGAAAAACTGAGAGCTTTCCCCCTAAGGTCAGGAACGCGGCAGGGATGTCCACTATCACCACTGCTATTCAACATAGTATTAGAAGTCCTAGCCACAGCAATCAGACAACAAAAAGAAATAAAAGGCATCCAAATCAGCAAAGAAGAAGTCAAACTCTCACTCTTTGCAGATGATATGATACTTTATGTGGAAAACCCAAAAGACTCCACCCCCAAACTGCTAGAACTCATACAGGAATTCAGTCAAGTGGCAGGATATAAAATCAATGCACAGAAGTCAGTGGCATTCCTATACACCAACAACAAGACAGAAGAAAGAGAAATTAAGGAGTCGATCCCATTTACAATTGCACCCAAAACCATAAGATACCTAGGCATAAATCTAACCAAAGAGGCAAAGGATCTGTACTCAGAAAACTATAAAATACTCATGAAAGAAATTGAGGAAGACACAAAGAAATGGAAAAACGTTCCATGCTCATGGATTGGAAGAACAAATATTGTGAAGATGTCAATGCAACTAGAGCAATCTACACATTCAATGCAATCCCTATCAAAACACCATCCACTTTTTTCAAAGAAATGGAACAAAGAATCCTAAAATTTGTATGGAACAAGAAAAGACCCCGAATAGCCAAAGGAATGTTGGAAAAGAAAAGCAAAGCTGGCGGCATCACAATTCCGGACTTCAAGCTCTATTACAAAGCTGTCATCATCAAGACAGTATGGTACTGGCACAAAAACAGACACATAGATCAATGGAACAGAACAGAACAGAGAGCCCAGAAATGGACCCTCAACTCTATGGTCAACTCATCTTTGACAAAGCAGGAAAGAATGTCCAATGGAACAAAGACAGTCTCTTCAACAAATGGTGTTGGGAAAATTGGATAGCCACATGCAGAAGAATGAAACTGGACCATTTCCTTACACCACACACAAAAATAGACTCCAAATGGTTGAAAGACTGCAATGTGAGACAGGAGTCCATCAAAATCCTAAAGGAGAACACAGGCAGCAACCTCTTTGACCTCAGCCACAGCAACTTCTTCCTAGAAACATCGCCAAAGGCAAGGGAAGCAAGGGCAAAAATGAACTATTGGGACTTCATCAAGATAAAAAGCTTTTGCACAGCAAAAGAAACAGTCAACAAAACCAAAAGACAACGGACAGAATGGGAGAAGGTATTTGCAAATGACATATCAGATAAAGGGCTAGTATCCAAAATCTATAAAGAACTTATCAAACTCAACACCCAAAGAACAAAGAATCCAATCAAGAAATGGGCAGAAGACATGAACAGACGTTTTTCCAAAGAAGACATCCCAATGGCCAACAGACACATGAAAAAGTGCTCAATATCGCTCGGCATCAGGGAAATCCAAATCAAAACCTCAATGAGATACCACCTCACACCAGTCAGAATGGCTAAAATGAACAAGTCAGGAAATGACAGATGTTGGCGGGGATGCAGAGAAAGGGGAACCCTCCTACACTGTTGGTGGGAATGCAAGCTGGTGCAGCCACTCTGGAAAACAGTATGGAGGTTCCTCAAAAAGTTGAAAATAGAGCTACCCTATGATCCAGCAATTGCACTACTGGGTATTTACCCCAAAGATACAAAAGTAGGGATCCGAAAGGGTACATGCACCCCGATGTTTATTGCAGCAATTTCCACAATAGCCAAACTATGGAAAGAGCCAAGATGTCCATCGACAGATGAATGGATAAAGAAGAAGTGGTATATATATACAATGGAATATTATGCAGCCACCAAAAGGAATGAGATCTTGCCATTTGCAATGACGTGGATGGAACTGGAGGGTATTACGCTGAGCAAAATAAGTCAAACAGAGAAAGACATGTATCATATGACCTCACTGATATGAGGAATCCTTAATCTCAGGAAACAAACTGAGGGTTGCTGGAGTGGGGGGTGGGGTGGGAGGGATGGGGTGATTGGGTGATAGACACTGGGGAGGGTACGTGCTCTGGTAAGCGCTGTGAATTGTGCAAGACTGTTGAATCTCAGATCTGTACCTCTGAAACAAATAATGCAATATATGTTAAGGAAAAAAAAAGAAGAAGAAGAAGATAGCAGGAGGGGAGGAATGAAGGGAGGAAATCGGAGGGGTAGACAAACTATGAGAGGTGATGGACTCTGAAAAACAAACTGAGGGTTCTAGAGGGGAGGAGGGTGGGGGGATGGGTTAGCCTGGTGATGGGTATTGAGGAGGGCATGTTCTGCATGGAGCACTGGGTGTTATGCACAAACAATGAATCATGGAACACTACATCTAAAACTAATGATGTAATGTTGAGGATTAACATAACAATTAAAAAAAAGACATGTCACTGCTAGTTTTGATCATGATCTGGAATCTTAAGGGATTAGCCGAGTACTTGTATTGTGCAAGGGAGGGGGGAGGTGGGGGCTGATGTGAGTCTGTGAGTGCACCCCAAGGGCAGGGAAACTATGACATTGGCTGGTGGGGAGGGAAGATAAAATGAAGCCATACTTTGACTGCCTCCTGTCTTCTCTTTTCACCCAAGTAGGAAGAACTATTGAAATGTCCCTCTTAAAGAGGCTGTGCTTCACCTGGCCCTTCACCACTGCTTCTGTCTCCTGGCATCTTGGAGGGGAAGGTCAGTCATCAACCATTAGTCATGGCCTATGCACTTCTGCTGAGAGCCTGTCTCTTCTCTGAATCTTGTCTGCATCAATCAGTTTGGGACAGGTCCTGCTGCCATAACAAACAAGCCCCAAGTCTCAGTGGCTTAAAATAACAAGGATTTATTGCTTGATCACGCTAAGTGCCCATTGTTGGGAGACCGAAGACTCTGCCCTGAGTCATCCTCCCTTCAGGTCATAGTTGACAGAGGAACCATGAGCCAGAATGTTACCAGCTGCATAGCAGGGGGCAAGAGAGCTTGGCAAATGGTGCTCTGACTCAGAGCAGCTGCCTGGAAGTGACACGCACATTGCTTTCTCTCACATTTTATGGGCCAAAGCAAGTCACACAGATAACTCTGTGTCATGTGGTAAGTCACATGATCAACTCCAATCCTATCATTTCCTGGGGAAAAAGAATGGGTAATATTTGATGAACAGCACTAAGGGCTAACCCAAGAGCCCTTCTCTGAGCCCTTACTTAAAAAAAAAAAAAGGTAAAGTTTCTGAATACTCAAAAGCAGAGAGATTAGTACAGTGAACTCCCATGTCTACATTCTGCAAGACATCTTCTTCAATTGCACTGTTATGGTAACAGGATCACTGTGCTAAACCCTGCAGAAGCCAGGTCTCATCCAATGTGCATGGTAAGCTTTATTATTTGTTCCATTTTACAGATGAGGAAACAGAGACTCGGGAGTTAAGTGACTTGGCCAAGGACACACAGCCAGTGCAGACAGAGCTGATGATGCACTCAGCCTTGCTGGAGGGTGCTGCAGCCTCAGGGGTGAAGAGAACTTAAATGGAAGCCATGTCAGGAAAGGGGGGCACATCTTTCTTAATGACGGGCTAGCTGCTGTGTGAGCTCGGCTCTCCTGCCAGCCCCCTTTGCTCTGAGCTGGGGGCTTCACCATCAGGGGCTAGAGGAGGAGGCAAAAGACAAGAAGTCAGAAGGGTCCTGTTCCCCAGTGAGGCATAGCCATGAAATGGGATGGTGTGGACCCATGGACATCCATTTAACTGTTGACTCTTTGGTGCATTCATTCAATAGCTATTTACTGAGTACCTACTCTGGGCCAGACCTGGGAAGACAAAGAAGTGAGCCCGCCTAGACCCTTGCCCCCACAGAGGAGAATCCTGCTTCTTCCAGCTGGTTGACTGGATTTTCTCAAATCTTAATTGGAGCCTCAGTTTCCTAACCTGTGCAAATGGGCATAGTAACAGCTTCTACATGGCAAGACCGTGTGAAGATTAAATGAACTCATACACAGAGATAACTGGAGCCCATTAGTGTCTCCCATGCCAATGGGCAGGGGTAACATCCAAAATATCGAATAACCCAGAAGCTATAGGCACCATCTAGTCAGAAGGGACCTCTGACTGACCAGAACTGGGTTGGCCAGTGTGCTGAATATTGGCTTTGGTGTTCCTGTGTTTCATAAACAGATGTTTGGAGAGCTCCAATAGCGGGTGCACCATGATCTAATGACGGAAATTTGCCCAGTCAGCTGACCTCTTGACCCCTCCTGGCTGAGGCCCATCTCTGTGTCCTGGTCACCAGGGGCTGGCAAGCATGTGTGGGTGGAGCCCACCTCTAATGCCTCTCACCCCCCATTACACCCACTCTTCTAAGTGCGGGGCCAAGAATATTTGGAGAGTAACAAAAGAATATAGAAATAACCAGATACTCACTTGATGTTTAAAGCCAATCGGTTTTGCTCCAGTGGGTGCCTGGTAGAGATGAAGGAATACCTTGCTTCTCTCTCCTCGGGGGGAACAAGCCCTTCCTCAAGGCCTTGCCATGTCCGAAGTTCCCACAGAAGAAATAATCAGTCCCCGTGTACCTGCTAGAAGGATTGAGGTATAAGCCAGAACTTCCCCCACTGTACTATGAGCCCACCTGAAATAAATTCATTTGTTCTGCACTAGTTACAGACATGTTACAAAGCTTCATCTTTTAAAGTGGCAGCAAATGTCTTCTAATATTAATGAGGATGATTCTGGAAAAAAAAAAAGTGTCTAGAAAGGTTTTTTGTTCTTCCAGAACATTAGGCTCCCCGCATTTCATTACCCAGTGAGGGCTCTCCATGTACTTCCTCTTCCATATGATCACAAACCGATTTGTTCCCATGTTCGTGTGTGGTTATGTGTTTAGACCACATGTAAGAAATTAGAGAAAGTTTGGAATTGGAATTGGGGTCGGATTGGGGAGAAAAAATCTGCCAGCTCATTTGGAGAAACCCACATGGAAAGATAAACTGCAGTGAGCAGCTCTGACAGTCATGTGAAGTGTTAATGCATCATTGTGACGCATTTTAAATCACATTTCTCGAAATTATTTTCCCCATTCGATCGCTACCTGAGAATGGAGATAATCATGTATGGGATCATATGGGGCAGTGCAGCCCGGGGTATACCATCTCTCCCACTGAGAAGCTCACCCGGGTTTGGAAATGCTAATGAATTACGTGACACATGACTCTCTGAAGATGCTATTATTACACCTACGCTACAGATAAAAGACTGAATCATCAAAAAAAAAAAAAATCAGTGATCTGCCTGGTGTCAACTTAGAAGTCACTGGTAACTGTTTTGAAGGATCCCGCTACTTTACTCTGGCTGATATAAAATCAGTTTCCCCAGGCCAAGGTTAACAGACAAGAGTGGGGCAGGATCTCTTCTTCAACTGTCTGACCTTTCCCGCGTTGTGTGGGAGAGTAGGGAGGGTGTGGGAGGAAGCCTCCCTCGGAGATGGCACCCCATTGGCTGACCACTGATTGGGGGAGGAGGGACAGATCCCAAATGGGCAAATGAACAGCCCCGTGGCTCCTGGGCGGCAGCCGGGGCCACGCCTTCAGAGTTGTCCCCCAAACCTACTCCTTCCAAAAGGTGGCCCTAAGGCGGAGCTGGTGGAGACACAGGGCAGGCTTTGCCCTGGCCCATCTCCAGTCCGCTTCCATATTGAGACCAGGAGCCTGGGACAAGCTTGCTTTTCCCAAAGACTGCTGGGGAGACACCGCTCACCCTGGTATGAGCTCAGACTGACACAGGGACCAATGGGCTGAGCAACTTCGAGAGAGAGGTAGATACTGAAAACATCGCCATTTCAAAACTAGGAGGGGTTTTATGTTTGCAGGAGATAGGGGCCTAAGGGCATCTTTGGGATGGTGTTACCTGGGAAAAGTCGTTCCGAGAAGAACCCAAACATTTAGCGACGCAAATGTTTGAACATCTGCCCCCGTATGAATGCAGGAGTCTTGAAAACAGAAGCTGCCAACTGCAGACCGCATCCAACTTTCTAATATGATCTCTGTGGCCGTATCTGTGTTTTTAAAAAGAAACGAGTTCACATTTTAAAATTAGAATCTCCTCCTGCCTTAGAGAAATCACTGCACCTGCCTTTGTGGATGGCCCCCGGCTGCGCCTTGGGATGAGGTACGGACTCTCCAGTGCTCCTCTCCCCCCACAGCACTCACGTCACCCAGAGCCTCCCAGCTTAGGAGCTGAGCATCAGCTGTCATTTATCCCTTCATTTGCACCCTTGATTTGATTATAGAGGACTCAGATTTCTCTTTGTAGCTGAGCCTCTTTCCAACGTGGGAAAGAAAGAAAAAAAAAAAGAAAGAAGAAAGGAAAGAAAGGAAAGAAAGAGAAAAAGAAAGAAAAAAAGAAAGAAAGAAAAAGAAAGGGAGGGAAACAAAGGAAGGAAGGAAGGAAGGAAGCTAAACAGGTTGATGCCACTTACTGGCTTCTTGAGGACATTTGAGTTTGCCTCTCTTGATCCAGAAGCTTGCCTCTCTTGGAGGCCAGATGTCAGTGAGGTGTCCTTTGGATAATATTTTTCCTAAGGAGGGACCTGGGCCACCTGTGGCAATCAACTGTTGTTTGTTTTTGAAGAAATATTAATAATAAAGCTAATATTTATTGAGCACCTTCTCTGTGCCTGGCAATTTTCCAAGCTCTTTACATGAGTTAACTTATGTAATTCTCACAAGAATGTGCACTAAATGCAATGATTACTATTTTATAGAGGAAGGAACAGGCATAAAGAGCCGAAGCAGCTTGCCAGTGTTTCTCTGAGGAAGCAGCTGAGCCGGGATTCACACGCGAGGTGGTGGAGCCCAGAGACGGTACAGTTAACCCCTGAGCTATTCTGCTTGCATGGGTCTTTCCCAAAGCCGTTTCCACGGGTTGACGCATCAGGATTGACTAGCACATGCTATGGTAGTAAAGCCCCAAGTCTCAGGAGCTGGAAACAACAAAGGTTTCCGTCTTGCTCACGCTACCTGATTACTGATGGTCAGCTGATGTGTTACTGTCATCCTAGATAGACAGAGCTGGCCCACCTGGAACACTGCTAGTGGCAGAGGGGAAAGAACACAGCAATTGTGCACCAGCTTTTGGAGGCCTCCTCTAGAAAGTGGCATTTATCACTCCTGCTCACATTTCGTTGGCCGAAGCAAGCCCAACTCCGAAGACCCAGGGAGTGCAATCCTTCTGCAGAGAGAGGGACTGCTGAGCAGTCTACGCACCAGAACATGGAGTTAATCTGCAGGAGAGACATCCGTGAGCCTCAGAGAACAAGCCAGAGGCGTGTGGGGCCCCGTGGGACAAAGTCTGGCAGAGTTAGGAAGGGTGCTCCCCCCCAATCTCTGATCTTGCTCCCACCCCCTAGATGGGACTGACGGCTTCAGGAACCTTGGGAGGCCCACCTGTCAGCAATACTGGCATGGAGAGAAGCACATTCCTCTACCCAGGGCCTTTGCATATGCTGTGCCCTCTGCCTTGATCCCTCTTCCCCACTCCCACGTCTACTAGTTCATATTCATCCTTCACATTTCAGGAATAAGCTCAATTCTTCTGGGAAGCCTCGTTTACACCTTTCCTTGTATTAGGCCCTCCTGTGATTCTCCTTCATAGCACCCTGAGGTTTCACTTTTCAGCACTTATTAAAGATTAACATTGCATGTTGATTTGTGCTTGTCTTTCCTATAAAACTGGAAGCTTTACAAGGGCTGTCTTGGTCACCTTTGCATCCGTGATGCCCGGCGTGGTACCAGGCACATCACAGAGTCTCTCCTTAATACCCAATGAATGAATGACTGGGGCACACAGGATGACTGCAGCTGATAGACAGGACTGCGAGCCAACAGGAGGTTCCCTTTGAGGACTCCAAGAAATAATTTAGAGGGAATTTCCAGGGGTCCTAACATCCTGTAGCTGAGGTGGAGTCAGGATAAGAAAGAGTCCATAGGAAGGTGAGCACTGTCATTTTAGTGGTCCCCCCAAACCAGAATGTGAGCCAAGGATCAGGAGCAAGTAGTACGTGTGAGAGGTGATCCTGGGGGATCCTAGCAGGGGCATGGGCAAGTGAGTCGGGTGGGAGGAGCCAGTGCCTTATCAAGTTGCCTCTGTGGGCCATTTATGCACAGTCCCCTGGAGCACTCTGGGAGGGGTGTATCGTACAACACTAAGAGTTATCCCATCTGAGGGGTGGGGTAGCTGGGGTATTTATATGCCAACTCCAGTTGATCATTGGTGCAAGTTGCTCCCAGGGGCCTGGTGAGTGGACAGCAAAGCTGGCTCTTGCAGCAAAAAAAAAAGTTCAGGTAGAAATTCAGGTGCCATCCGTTGGGAGGAACAGGGGATATGGGCAGGGTACAGGTAGCATCCGTTTCACTAAGAAAGAGTGAATTCGCCCTTGTTCTTCATGTGGTATCTTCCATAATGGTGAGAGTGTAGGCTCTACTCCAAGGTCTTCAAAATCTATTTCACATTTTCTGGCTCTCTGGGAGGGGGCTAGAAAGTCCTTGCCACGGTTTCAGGCTAGTCTTGCGTAGAATACGTTTATGACTTGGCCATATCTCTACGACTCTTTCATTCATCATTCATCATTTCATTTAATAGACCCTCAAGCATTTATTGGGTCTCTTCTGTTTGGCAGGCATTGAGCTAGAGGATGGGGTACAAAATCAGATAAAACACAGGCTCTGTTCTGAAGTATTTTATAAAGCAGTGTTCCAGTTTTTGGAGAGGTGCTAAATGCCAAACAAGATACTGTGTTAAATAAGTTTGGAAAGCTTTGCAAAGTATCACCTCTCTTGGATAATCACAGACCACATTGACATGTTAAAGGCTTTAAGAAGGACTGAAGAAAGAAATCTGTGTAACTATTTTACCTAGGATTTTTCCAAACTTATGACATTGGAACCCTTTTATACCAAATTGCCTATATTAACATCCCAAGGAACTAGAATTCTGTGGAACACACTCAAACAAAGCTATTGGATTTCCACCCAATCCTTTGAAGACCTGAATAGAACAAAAAGCCTGAGTAAAGGACAACTCACTCTCTCTGTCTCATGGTCTTCTGACTTTGGACTTTGACTCGGACTTGAACTTACACCATTGGCTCCCCTGGGTCTCAGCCTACTGACTGCATATCTTGGGACTTCTCAGCCTCCATAATTGCGGAGAAATTTATTATAGGGAATTTCCAATTCCATTAAAAAAACCAAACATATGTATACTTATTTATATTTATTTATTTATACATATATGCATACATATTTGTTTATTCATATATGTATATATTTATTTCTATATACATATAGAATATATTTACATATATATGTATATCTATCTATCTATCTATCATCTATCTATCTATCTATCTATCTATCTATCTATCTATCTCCTGTATGTTCTGTTTCCTGGAGAACCCCGACCGACCAGATTTCTGGCAGGATGGTGCATGAAGCCTCATAATTCTTAGACTGCTTTGTGGATGAATAGCTATGGCAGAAACCTCAGTTCCTTCACATGAATCCCCTGCTCTGGAATTGAGCCATCATCTCATTCCTTGGTGAGTTGGAGTTCTTTGTTCTAAGAAACATGAAAATTGTACATTGACTAAGAACTCTAGAAATTCTGATGGGAAAAAGTCCAAATAGTGGAAACACTAACACAGTCATTACACTTAGTTTTGAGGCTAATTTTATTGTGAAATTTTTCTTAAATATGTTTCTTGACTTTGCCCATAATCCTTATGAGTTAAGTACTTACAGGAAATCAGCATATGGCTCTTTAATGAATCAACCGTGCATGACCAAAAAGTGTGGAGGTTGTTGTTTGTTTTGAGATCAACATAGGGAGAAAAGGTAAGCCCAGAGATATTTGTTTTCTGGGAAAATTGCACTCTTGTGTGTTAGAGGGACAGGACTTTCCTTAATTGAATGGTTTTCTCCTCCCTGCCCTATTTACTCCTACCGCAAATCTTAATCTATAAGTAGGGTTTAAATATTACCCTCCTGGCTATTTACTAGTCATTGTGTACTTTTAATTAAGAGATTTTCAAAGAGCTTCATTCCATGTTACTCTTGCAGCCAAACAACAGAGGGTGTGGCCTTTCCACAAAGAATGACTTTCTGTAATTCATATCCAAGAAAAGACGCAGAGACAGGAAGAAACGGAAGAGCCATGCCTCTCTGACTTGAGGGAAAGTCAGACTTAGAAGATAAGAATCTCTTCCAAGAACTTTAAAAAGATGTATGCTAACTACATAATACAGCTTAAGGCTAGAGCCTGGTGGGATACCTGGTCACAGAGCTGTTCTATCAATCTCCGGTCCATGATGCTTCCTACTTCCCCTACCCAACACTTCAGCCAGGACTGGCAGCTGAATTGCTGTACTGTGGACAATACTCCATCTAGTGGTTAACAGGACAATTGCAAAAATACCTTCACAGATCACATGCCAAACTATTCCAAAGCTGGATTTCAGACCTAAGTTATCCGTGCCAGTGTTTGCTACACAATAAAAATCAATAGGGGAGCTTGTAAAAATCTGATTGCCCAGGTTACACAACACACCGATTAAATCATAATCTCTGGGGGTGGGGCCCAGGCATCAGCATCTTAAAAACTCTCCAAACGATCCTGGTGAGAGAACAAGGGATCTTTGCAACCAAAGGAATGCGTTAAAATGTAGAAAAACTTCCCACATTTCTATCCTACTACACATTTCATAAGAATGTTTCCTGTGTAGTTGTTTCTCTCCTCCTCCTCCTCCTTCTTATCCTCCTCCTCCTCCTTCACCTCCTTCTCCTCCTCCTTCTCCACTGCCTCCTCCTCCTTCTCCTCCACCTCCTTCTTTAAAATTGGATCACTTTTGAGGGGCGCCTGGGGCCCCGGGGTGGCTCAGTCGTTAAGTGTTTGCCTTCGGCTCAGGTCATGATCCCGAGGTCCTGGCTCAGGTCATGATCCCGGGGTCCTGGGATCGAGCCCCACATGGGGCTCCCTGCTCAGCAGGAAGCCTGCTTCTCCCTTTCCCACTCCCCCTGCTTGTGTTCCCTCTCTCGCTGTGTCTTTCTCTGTCAAATAAATAAAATCTTAAAAAAATAAATAAATAAATAAATTGGATCATTTAAAAAAAAAAATGGGATCAACATGCAGAACACCAGAGAGGTTACAAACACAGACGTGCATCCGAGTGCTTGGGTTCCAATCCCAGCTCCACCACCTATTGCTCGGTGACCTTTTGGTGCTATGGTTTCCCCATCAACAAACCAGGACTAATGGGAGCCCAACCTCATTGGTCAGTTTGACGTTTCTATGAGTAAACAAATATCTGTGAATCACTTAGAACTGACCCTACTGCATAATAAATGTTATTTAAATGTCTATTATTAAGAGTCTATAGCATTACTTTGCAACTTGCTTTTTCAACCTAAAGCTGCTATGGGCATCTCATATAGTACATACAATAGATCAAACTCATTCTTCAGTAGCTGCAGAAAACCATCTGTGAATATATGTCCTTTGAAGTATATCATCCACCAAATGGAAATGCTGGGTTAAATGGTATAAAGGTTTGACATTTTAACTGATGCTACAGACCAGTTTCCTTTACTGAAAGGAAGGAATTCACCCTCCCACTAGCACTGTATGAGATGGTCTGTTTCCTCTACAAGCCTTTTAATTCTTGCCAATATGATTGGTAAAAAAATACTATCATGTTGATATAAGTGGTAGTTCGCTGTCTAGAAGAGAGTGAACAGATCTTTTCAAACGTTTACTGGTTATTTTCATTTCCTTGCCTGGTCATACCCTTTGCTCGTGTTTCTATTGAGTTTTTGTTTTTGTTTTTGTTTTTCCTTTAAAGTAGCAGCAAGAGCTCCTTGTATATTAGGGATATTAACTCATCAGTCAAAAAAGTTGCAACTGTTTTTCCCATTTTGTTTTTGCATTTTAACTTCGTATAGTAGAACTTGTTAGCCTTCCTCCTTATTGATTCTCGATTCTCTGTATTGTATAAGTCTCTTTTGCCTTCCCAATCTTGAGGCTATACAAATTTTCTTCTAAAACTTTTCCATTGTTTTTTGGTTTATGTTTTTCATTTCACGTTTTAATCCATTCATTATAATTTTGGATCAATAGCCAATTATGCCAATAATGCTAATTAAATAAACTATCTTCTCCCCACTGGACAAAAATGCTGTTTACATCATGTGTTAAATTAAATATATCCTCAGATCTTTTTGACTTTCTGGTCTTCTAATCTGTAAGTTTATTTATAATTCAAACCATACAGCTTAAAAAATTATTACATTAGCATTGTAGAACATTTTATACCTGGTAGAGCAATTCTACCTTGATTTTCCTTTTTGAAATTAAAGAAAAAAATCTTTTTTTTTTAAGTTGTCAATTCTAAAACATTTAGAATTTCTTCAATATAAGTGCTAAAATGCTTTTTTGTACAGCTCTAAGAAAACACATTGATATTCTGATTGGAAGTAATTTAAGGTAAATATTTATTTGGAAATCATTAACACTCATGATTATCAATTCTTCCCATCCAAGGACATGTTGTGCCTCACCATTTTTTCAAATATTGTTTTTATGCTTTCAACAAAATGTTATGGC